TTTAAATTCATATAACTTCTTAAATATTCATCCTAAATATTAATTATCTTATATCAATTTGTAGCTCATGTTACGATCTACAAATTTACTTAGAACATCAATAAACATTTACTTGAACTCGAACCAAACTTTTTGTCAGGTTCGAGTCAGGTTCTAAATTCGAACCGAACTCGAACCAGACTTTTAATTAGGTTCAAATTTTCGAACCAGACTTTTCGTCAGGTTCAAGTTTGGTTCAAGCTCGAACTGAATCAGACTTGAACTGAACCAGACTTTTTTTCAGAACTCTAACTGTATTGCTATAGAACCATCACCACATTAAGTAAATATAAAGGAAATATTTATTAGTAGTAGTGTTACCTATTCTAATTTAATAGAATAGAAAAAGTCGCACTGCGCCATGATCCTAAAGGCAACTGGATCAAATCATTGAAATATCAAAATAGATTTTGGTTGAACATCCACGTCACGAGATTACCTATCTGAGCCCAGGACTCGTGACAACATGCTTTTCATACTAATAATAATAATATGAATTAAATATAATTAGTATGAATTATAAATAATATAGAATGAGATAATATAAAAATAGAATGAAATAGTATGAAATAAAATAAATATAAAATGAAATAATATGAAATAAAATAAATATAAAATGAAATAATATAAAAATAGAATGAAATGTTATAAAAATAGTATGAAATAAATATGAATAATATAAAATAAATATGAATATGATTTTCAAATCAATTATTCAATGAAAATTAACTATGAAAAATTATGTAATATGTTAAAATTCATATTATAACAATATAATATATTTGAAATCCAAGTAAAACAGTAACAGTATTGCTAATAATACATTGTTCATACATTTATCTTCGATCTTGTATTGCTAATAATACAAATATCATATCTTATATTTTGACTTTTAAAGATTTAAAGACATTTTTAATATGTATATTATATTTGACATTGAGATTTTGAGAACTCTCTTTAGCAGTCCAGTTATTACGTTAAAAAAATACAACTATTACCAACCTTTAAGTGATTTTTATAAGTACTTATCATACTTTAACTTATATTTAGTCTAAAGTCATAAAGTATTATTAAGACTATGAATTGTCATTAAGATATTTGAGTTTCCCCTTGGAATATCATAAATATCCTTGAATATTTCAAAGTCCCATTAAAATGGTAACAATGTGATCTAAAATAGATTCATTAAAATATCCGATTAAGATTAGATATCAAGTATTAGAATTAGGATTAGATTTAAAATTAAAATTATATATAAAATGGGCTTTTCAACATTTTTTAATAATGAGTCAAGCTAGATTTAGATCTGTTTTTGTATTTTTCGCATTTTTTGTCTTTTCTTATTTTCTTGTGTCGGATTTGTTTTGCCGGGTTGATCAAAAATTTGCTACATTCCTATTGGTTGGCTTGGTTTATCGTCACGTGATCCGACACCTTTTTTTGCCATGGCTAGGGTACTTATATCGATACGTGTTACGTGAGCAATTTATCGAGAGCAAAATTATAAATCATGCCAAAATATTATTGTGGTAAGTTCATTCCTGATTCTGGGTTGTTAGTAATTTCATTAGACCTGACTTTTTTGGAAATTAAATGTCATAGATTATTGCGACGTTTACTTGACACACGGTAAGTTTCGTTTTCTTGAGTTTGTAATTTCGAATCAAAACTCTGCATTCCGCTTAAAAACGGCATTTTTTTGACAGATTCATCGTCAGTAAGGAAAGCACACAATAATGGAAAAAATCATATTATGAATGTGCGCAACTATTATGCTGGTAAGTATAAGAATGTTCGGCTCGATCATGATAGAGATAATCATTTTTTTCTTGTCTGCCAAAAAAATGCAGAATTAGGGCAGGATAAAGCGCAGGCTATTATTGATGAGATAACAAGAGCTTATGAACGCGCGGGTCAATCTGGATTTCCGTCTCAATACGGATATCCTGGTGCAGTGCCTCCACCATCTGCCTCGGTTATACCACCTGGACCACCATTCACTGGTAAGCACATGATGTTTCTTTCATCCCTCAGAAAAGAAATCAAGTCTAAATTCGATCATTTGGGATATTATCTATAAAGGGGTTATTTTGCTTCATCCCTCAAATCGACTACAAATTCACATCATAATATCAGGCAAATTCGTTATAAGCACATGCATTCATAAGTTATAAATCTACCATACTCATTAATCTAATCTTTATTTAAATCAGGACCCCCACCAGCAATAATGCTTGGTAGACCACCTGCAACGGGAGCTCCAGGAACAAATGGAGCACCAGGCGTAATTTCAGCAGCACCACCAGGTATAGCAGGAGCTCCGCCTGGTTTAGGCGGTCCACCGGGGTTAGGAGCACCATCCATAGGTATAAGGCCATCGATTTCCGGTATCGGAACACCAGGAAGTAATCCAATTCCACCCAACTTTCCCGGAGTTCCTACATCACCGACTCAACCATATAGTCCAATGGTGGGGCCACCACCACCACCGCCAACTCCAGCTGGTTATATGAGACCACCCGTAGTGGGAAGCAATCCATCTCAATTTCCTCCTTCGGGTGTTGCTCAAACACAATTTCCTTCATCGAATGCGCCCCCTCAAATGCCAATAATCAAACAAGAACCACCAAACTCTCCAGGAATTCCTCCATATCATTCATCGTCGTCTTATCATCATCACCATCCACCAAACCTCGCTCCCACTGGTGGTAATCAACAACCAATATCAATGAGTAGAGGGTTGAAAAGACCAGCAGATGATTGATCGATTAACTGACATTCAAAATTCTGTATATATTAAATCCAATTTAAAAGACAAAAATATATATGACTGCGAGGTGCATATCTCATGATATGAATTTTTAGTCATTTGATTTTTCGACATAAGAAACTGCTTATCTTTTTTCGTCCTCCTCAATTGAAACATTTTTCTTTTAGACGTAATAAACATAATAATAATAATACAGAACTAATAGTGATTTTATAATTAAAGATCATCGTGGTCGTAATGATTGATACAAAGAACTATTATAACCAAACTCTATAGGCGCGACAGGATTCGACTAAAAATCATAAAAAGTAACGTTAAAAAGATGTGATTCCCATGCAAGGGAAATAAATATACAAACAGTTTGTCCACGAAAAGAGCCTGTTAAACGTCTATCGCGTTCCATCATTTGTAGATCCCATTGAGTGAGACCATATCTTGGTTTCTAATGGGAGGAATTTATTTCATCAATTACGAGTAGTCTTCGAAGACGCAAAAATTCCATATTTATTTTATTACCTTTCCGTCGTTTTGATACGTCTTTACAGCGTGCAGTAGAGTACCAGTTACGCCAAACATGGCAGTAACAAACCCTTGGGTGCATATAAATACATTTTAATCAAAGTTGCTTTATTTTTTTTTGGTTGCACATAATTTTTTAGTCTTCTCTTAAAATTATTTACCGAAAGGAATTAAAGCCTCAAAGGGAATCGGCATTATGAGTTATATTTGTTTATATGCAAGAGAAAGGGAAGATTATGTGTAGATTTTCTATGTAACTAATTTTCCAAAATCGGCATTCACTTCAATCAAAAAAATTGACTCGCTGATTCTATACAAAATATCAAACCTTATGGCAGACGAAGACGAAACTCCGGGTAAAAATTATATTTTTTTACTATCACCTATCTCTTCTCCATTATTTTCTTCTAAATTTGGCAATTTGCGAAAAAAGTATTTAAAGTAACCCAAGAAGAATTAGAGAAACACCGTGTACCACTGGCGTGGCGCGACACATGTGCGCATTTGTTAATACCATTAAATAAGTGTCGTATTAGGGAGAATTACTTTCCATGGAAATGTAAGGATGAAAAACACTCGTATGAAAAGTGTCAATATGAGGAGTGAGTATATAAATACATAATATCATTAGCATTTAGAGTATTGACGTTTATGATATTTGACGAATTATGGTTATTTTAGTTATATGAGGCGAATGCGTGCAATGGAGAAGATTAAAAAGGAGAAATTAGCAGCCGCCAACAATGCAGCCACTTAGACCCTATTTATCTTGAATAAGGAATTAATGAAATTAGTTGATAATAAATATAATAAAGTAAACCTTCATCATGACTTACCTAATGAATAGGAGTTTCTTTATTTCATTTTCGTTTCCACAAACAACACGTGTCTGTTAACTATATATCGTAACATAAACAATTTAATTTCATATAAAAAAAATAGATCGCTCTTTAAAAATAAAATACCTCTAGGATCAAACTTCATACAGCTTAATTTTGGCGACTGCCGTGGTCGTCTTCGCGCGTAAAAGAATCCAGTACCCGCGGTAGATAAAAGTTTAACTATTATTACTCTGAGGAATTCAATCAAACAAATAGTGAACGTAAATAAATGTACATAATTAATAACCGCTCCTTCCTTATGCATTATATACATCTTTAAAGAGTTAATGATCCCTTTCATTTGATATTTCACCTTGCTTTTTGCTTTTTGGCCACTATGATTAGCAAAAAATCACGACGTTAGTACAAAATCATTCCAAATCGCGTCGACACAAATGAACAAACCTACTTTGTCAAAATTGTAGCAAATTAAAAAAAAATGAAAAACTTTATTTGGATAACATACATATAGAATCTTTTATTAGCACTAACTAAATTTAGGAATGATTGTCATTTCCTAAATAGTCGTGTTATTTACTATCTACACTTGATCACCATAACTCTCGCACAAATGTGTGTAAAATGCAAATAAGAATGCGAAATTGAAAAGTCTGAAAAATGTCCTTTGATGTCAACCAGGAAAAGAGGGTAAAAAGAAAAATCCCAACTCTATTTGATCCATAATGAAATTGCGAATAAAATTGAAAAGATAGTCACGCCAAATGTGTACGAATACCAATGTTCAATAAATGCTAGAATAGGAAGGCTTTATAGATCATCAGACATGATCTTAATGAATTCCGCTTCGTTTACTGAAACACGAAAATTGATCAAGTTAAGGAAATGATGTTCAAGAAAATAGCAGCATGTAATAACCCAAAATTGCAAGGATACTCTCTCCATCCTCGTCCATATCAAATTCATCTATCATTGCCTGTAATTCCTCGTCATCTAAATTTTCACCAAGCTCCTTTGCGATGCGTCTTAAATTACGCAAAGAAATTCTCCCAGTATTATCGTCATCAAAGAGCTTGAATGCTCTTTGTATCTCTTCTAATGGTGATCGAGTTAAAATCCGTTCTGACACTGAGAAATCAAATGATTCATGAATTAATATTATCACGCGTAAAATAACATATCACAATCTTTCGAATTGTGACAGAGTATACTCACTAACTTTATAAAAGTCCTCAAAGACCATATACCCATCTCCTGTCTTGTCATACTGTCGTATCAGTTTAAGCACGTCAGGTTTCTTTTCATCAAAACCTAACGCTCGCATGGCTACCTTATTGCGACAATCGAATCAGAATGAATATTTGTAGAACAATTTTGAAGAATTAAAACAAAGGATAGCCATTAAATTCATAAATCATGTAATCAATTTAAAAGAGCAAGGTACACGAAGACTAAAAGTACATCTAAAAGCAAACTAAATGTTAAACGCCTCAAATCCAAAAAAATCCACGTACCTTTAACTCATGATAATCCAATGCTCCGTCTTTATCGGTATCAAATAATTCAAATGCCTCTTTTATCTCGGTATTTTGCTCTTCCGAGAGTTGTGAGTCTGGCATCGCGTGACTATTTGCCGCATTAGCGGGATATTGAACACGTTGTTTCTTTTTTGTGGTCATCGTATTTGACGGAATATTACTGGCAGCGTTGCTAAAATAACAAGCCAAAAAGACTATTATTATTACAAAGAAAGATTTCGAACGTGATCTTTGCTCATTTACCTTCCATTCATGTTTGCTCTTTGGTGGAATGAAATAAACGAGTAAGGAATACGAATAGGAAATTTCACTTACAACCAATCAGTTTGCATTAATGATCGAGACCACGTTACCTACCTTTAGTAATCTTGTTTAAAAACCTTATCTCGCCCACCTGACTAAATGTCTAAATGCTAGGTAAAGATGTTCAGTGACACAACTTTGATGTTTTTCTATCGATATCAAATACAGTGTTGTTACTGGACTTAGTCCAATTATTGGACTGGAATAAGTCCAGTCCAGTCTAGTTCAATCATGTGTTCAATATTTATTTATTTGTTTATTCTTCACAAATAGACAATTGAACATATATGTTTGGTAAGTGTGCTAGTTAATTAATTAGTGACTGGTTTTTTTTTTTAGTTAAAGGATAACATTTCAAAGAAAGCAAGTAACTTGTTATATAATACAAAAAGCAAGCAGTATCAAATGATCATTAAAATATTCCAGAATCTGGCTCAGCTCAAGATTTTGTAATAAATGAAAGAAAAAATTCCTTTTTTGAATATTTCTAATGATGTGTTTTGTTCACCTACTTTATATTATAATGAGTTTTTTAAAGAATAAGATTTATGTGGATTCAATTAGATTGTTGTTCCACAACACAATATTATCTTGATTATAATCTAGCTATAAAAAAAAGTGAGAATTATAAAGTATATCAATAAATGAATCATATTGTAAAAGTTTGTGAATTTTGTAATATAATTTTATTTTTGATAATTGATATGAAAATAATTTATTTTTGTATTGCTAATTAATTATATAATAATTAAAAAAAGCATAAAACACTAAAAAAGATAAAAAATTATAAAAAATAAAATAGTATGAAATAATAAATTAGAGATAAAAGATATTTAATTTATTTTGTGCTAGTTAAAAAAGATAATTTAGATACTTATTTTTATATATAAGTAGCACTTTATTTGATAACAAGCAAGTAAATAATTATAAGTTATTAATAAAAATTAAAATTAATAATTTATTACTTTAATTTCTCTTTGATATTTAATATAATTTTTATTAAACTTGGAATAATCTAGTAATATTATTATTCTTGTATTATATATTTGTATAATTTATATGCAAATGCTAACTAAGATAGCAATAGTAAAAAATATGCATTTCTTAGTAATAAAAAAGTTTTGTTAATGAAACTATTTTAAATTTATTAATTATATATTATATAATTCTTTTAATAATAACTTAACTTGTTATATAATTTTTTTATAACTATAAGAATAAATTTGTATTAAGATCTTTCATTATTAAAAACTGAAATAATAATTAATATTTTTTATCAAAAATCAAATTATATCTTTTTTTCATAAATCATATCTATATTTTCTTTGGAGTAATTATTAATACACACTTATTAATATATAAATTAGAAAATAATTTAAATTCAATATGTTATCTATTATTATTTTATTATTATATTTGTTATTTATCTTTTGCTTTTGATGAAAGAGAAAACTATAATTTCATTAATTTTTGAACTTGGATATTTGATTGTAAAATAATAATATATAGCTATTAATCACAAATAATATTTAATTAATTAGTTTATTTAGTTATTATTATTAAAAAAGACTAATTATAGACCTACTTAATTCAATTTTATATAATATTATACAAATTTATTATTATATTTTGTTTTATAATTTTTATATTACTAAGAATATAAAATATAATTATGTTACAATATTTTTTAGTAATATTGCTACCGTTTCTAGTTCTTACGTATGATAATATTTAGAAATGATTAACAATAACTGTGTTCATGGCAGATTTTAAATAAGAGAGATATAAATAACGAAAGTGGATGGTTAACAATAATAAACTAACAAGAATATGAGTATAAGATGGATGTTTAAATGTGTTTGAATAATAAAATAATACTAAAACTAAATATACGTTATTAATTCAAGTTAGAAAGTGTATTGACAAGATAAAAGACAATATGATGATAAATGAAAACAACAAAAGTAAAATAAAGACAAAACAAAACAAAACAAAACAAAATAAAACACAAATAAAAATAAAGCAAACAAAAGAAACAAACAAGAAAAGTGAAAAAGACAAAACAAAGTTAAAACCAGGATATAATCTTCTTAGTTTATTTCAAGTCAATTCTC